TGTTGCTGCTTTACGTCATTTAAGTAGATTCTGTGAATTTGGAGAAACGCTGTCTGACAGACTATGTGAAAAGTTTGTGACAGGTGTAAACAGCCCTGATATTCAAAGAAAGTTGCTGCTCGAGTCAGATCTAAAATTGGAAAAAGCAATACAACTTGCAATGTCATTCCAGCAGTCATCAGATGCGGCGAGATCTTTAGCACCTTCAGAGATCCATGCAGTAAACAGCAGGTTAGTCAATAAACATCAACCCCAACAGAGCATTCCAACTTATGCTAAACAGCCTGCTCGTTCAAATCCTAGATCTAAATCTAGTAATAATTATCAAAAATGTCATCGATGCAAAGGTCCCCATGCATCTCATCGGTGCAAGTTCAAGTTAGCAACTTGTTATAAGTGCAGTAAGCAAGGTCACATTGCCAAGGCCTGCTTTGCAAAGTCTTCGTCTGTTGCTAAATCTAGCCAGTCAAGACAGTACCGCAACCAAAAGCAGCACTATGTTAACTCTCACCAAGACTACCTAACCCAACCAATGAACCACTCTACCTGTGAAAATGCTCAAACTGATTCGCAGCCGGATTTCAACCTGTTCTCTGTGAAATCAATAAGTCATGCTCCCATCAATGTACAAGTTAATATCAACGGTAAGAGCATCAGCTTCCAACTTGACACTGGAGCATCACTAACAGTCATCACAAAGAAAGATTTTGACGCTGTCACAGGAGGATCAGTGTCTCTACAGCCGTGTCACAAGTGTCTAACAACATACACTGGTGACAATGTTCCGGTAATAGGAGAGTGTATGGTTCATGTAAGTTATAATGGTCAAAGTGTTAAACTTCCTCTTCTTGTGGTTGAAGGAAATGGACCGCCATTACTAGGTAGGAACTGGTTAAGTGATCTTAAGTTAAATTGGGAGAGTATTTGTTCATTGAAGAATGTAAAAGAATCTAGTCTTACTTCACTAGATAAAGTTATATCTGAAAATAAATGTGTTTTTGGTAACTCAGGTTTACTAAATGATAGAACAGTGAAGTTAAGCATTAAAGATACAAATCCAAGATACTGCAAAGCTAGAGTTCCACCTTATGCAATGAGGAATAAAATTGAAAATGAGCTAAGTAGATTGGAATCTAATGGCATTATAAAGAAGGTAGACTATTCCGATTGGGCGACGCCCATTGTGCCAGTGTTAAAGAAGGATGGTTCTATAAGAATTTGTGGAGATTATAAAACTACACTGAATAAGCAATTAGAGCTAAATAGGTACCCTATACCTAACATTGAGGAAATTTCTTTGACTTTGGCAGGAGGAGACAAATTCACTGAATTAGACTTTAGTCATGCTTACACTCAACTAGAACTGCATCCAGATTCAAAAGTCTATACGACAATAAACACACATAAAGGACTCTACCAATATGAAAGACTATGTTTTGGCATATCATCTAGCCCTGGAATTTTCCAAGCTGTCATGGACAGTATTTTTAAGGACATTCCAAATGTTTGTGTTTACTTTGACAATGTGTACATAACTGGTAAGAATGACACTGAACATCTTAAAACACTTGATAAAGTATTGAAAATTGTTGGTGAAAAAGGTTTAAAGATAAACAAAGATAAATGTCAATTCATGCTGACAGAAATTAGTTTTCTTGGTTATATATTAAGCAAGCAAGGTATCAGACCTCAACCTGAGAAAACAAAAGCCATTAAAGAAGCACCCAAACCTGAAAATACCCAACAACTAAGAGCTTTTTTGGGCTTGATAAATTACTATGCAAAGTTCATAGGAAATCTGTCTGGTAAACTATCACCACTGTACAAGCTGCTACAGAAAAATGCAACTTGGCACTGGAGTAAACAACAAGAAGCTGCTTTTAACACAGCAAAAGAGGCTTTGTCTGCTGACACCTTACTAACTCACTATGACCCAGGGAAAAGACTTATATTAACATGTGATGCTTCACCAGATGGTGTAGGAGCAGTCTTGTCCCACATGGATGAGAAGGGTGACAGACCCATTGCTTTTGCCAGTAGATCTTTGAACCAGGCTGAGAAAAATTATTCTCAGTTAGATAGGGAAGGCTTAGGCATCATTTTTGGTGTTAAGAAATTTCATAAGTTTCGGTTTGGTAGGAAGTTCACCATCTTTACAGATCATAAACCATTGCTAGGTTTATTTGGAGAAAACAAAACCCTACCTGAGCATGCCTCACCAAGAATTCAAAGATGGGCTATCACACTAACTGCATACAATTATGAATTGAAATACAAACCTGGATCTGAGAATAGTGCAGATAGTCTTAGTAGATTACCTTTAAAAAACCAAAGCCTGAGCTATGTACCAGAAGATGTATTTGTTCTCTTCACTATCATGGATAACTCCAATATAAATGTGAATGATATTAAAAGAGAAACACAAAAAGATGAGTGCTTAATAAAAGTATATGAGTACTGTAAGAATGGTTGGCCTGAAGAGTCTGTGAATGATGACTTAAGGCCATATTAAATAAGAAATAAAAACCTTTGTGAAGATAATATAAAAGATGGAGAAGATGCAGTCCATTATCAGTCAGAGTTGCCTAAACAAAGTATTTGTAACTTAATAAATGATTATGGTGATATGGCAATTTCAAATGCTTTTAAAGAGAATACATTAGTAAGAAGGAATGTGATCATCAAACAACTTTGCTAACACCATTAGCACTTACAGAAACTAAAAGGGTAACATCAAAAGAAAAGAAAAAAGATTTTTGCCATTTAATACACCCACTTCAAATACTGGATCACAGTTGCAAAGTGATATGGTCCAGGATATTACTTTTAAACAGTATTTTTGGTTACAAAAAAGGCACTATCAGATTACCTGAGAAAATTGATCAATCAAAGAAATCTATGCCAGTTAAGGATCTGAATAATAGCATAATACTTTCAGATGCCAATTAAAAAAGTAAATCATGACAGAACACCCATTGAAAGAGAATTTGGTATTAATGAGAATGTGTATCTAAGAAACTATGGGAGAAAGGAAAAATGGATACCAGGTCAAATTGTTCAATGTACAGGACCTGTGTCTTATAAAGTTAAAAATAACTTGTGCAGATAATAAGTGTGAATCTGTCAATCCCACCAAATCTGAACAGTTCACACCAACTCAGTTTGATCCACAACCAAGTTCTGTTGATATGAGTGAACCAAGTTGTCTGGAGTCAGAAAATGTAAATTCTGGAGTTAATGATTTAAATCCTAGACCTCCTGAGATAGAGAATCCAGATGGTCAGAATCTTGAGTCACCAAATCAAAAGCCACTGAGAAGGTCAAGCAGGACAATCAAAGTCCCAAATAAGTTAGACCTATGATTTTAAAGGTCAAGAGGACTTTGACATTATTGTTTTGTATCTTGATTATGTTGTAGCATATTGTGCATTGTTTGTAAGGATGTAATCTACCATAGTGTTCATGTTACAATATAATTGGTGGTTTTAGGATACTATCAATTATTCTATTGAGAGATGTGTTATTGTGTTCTAAGGGTAAAGGGATGTAATAGATTGAGTTAATTGTGAGGTCAAGGGAACTCACTCTCTGTATTAGTATTATATTTATATTGTTATCTTGAGTGATGTCCCTTACATGTTGTTATCTATAAATAGTTCTCTCTCGCCACCTGCTTCCCCTCTTCTTTTCCGGTTAACAAATAAAGCTATTTACATGCTCATGGCTTCTGTCTCCGTTGTATTCATAATCTACCTCATCCGGTAATGTTTGTTGAGTTTCGGTAACATTCGTTACTGTAAACTGTAAACCATAGTTTATTTATTGAAACATAAATAAAGTCAAGTACATTACATTAATGGTTTAAAATATTCGACAGAAAATTAGCAAAAATTAGTATGTATAAATATTAATTATAGAGTCATGTCTAGTAATTATTTTTTTAAGAAACACAGAAAAAAAAACACGCAGAAGATTTGCGACGGCTAGATTCTAGATCTAGGCCTAGTAAAAATAAGACGATTAGATTCACTTAAGTTTAAAGTACAAGCACATACACTTCAAATAATTAGAAATACAAAATAATTAGCAAAAAAGTATTTAAAATGCAACTAAAATCAATCTATGCAAGTTTTTAAGCATTATGTATTAAAAATAATTTGGCGCCAAATAAAGTATGGTTTACAGTATTTCCGGCGGTTTCCGGAACGGCGTGACAGGTTACACGTTGTTTTAGTGTTTTTTTGGTTTTTTTTTACTGCTGTACCATTCAGGAATAATAACCGACGCTATATCATATCGTGATATTACCCAAATAACTAGAGTCTTCGAACTTAAAATATTGAGTTTATGACTTTTTTTCAGGCTATCGTTTTTGAGGTAATTTATTGATTTAGGTACGTAAAACGTCCTTTTTTTGGGAAACAAAGGCGGTTACGCATAGTGTTGACCACACTATCCCTCATGTGCCGTGAAACAGATGAACTCTACTTTATCTGCTCCGTGTGCACGCACGAGAAAAGATGATGATGATATTACGAAAATGCATGAAAGAAACTCTACACGCATACCACTTTTACGATTAGACAACATTGGCTTTTTAATTCAATGTTTACTCGAGAATTGATGACGTCATATTATTGTGTGCACTCTCCCGGCTTTCGACTATTTCCTACTATATGCTCCATGTGACGTCACGTTTCGTTTTTCGAATTATTATTTGTTTTTACTTTGCTTATGTTTTCTCTATTGCGTTCCCGACAGATACATAGATAGATAGATAGATACACAGACCGATAGACAAACAGCGAAACTATTGTCATAGATAGTATTAGGCTTATTTAAAAAAAACACGTTTAGGTTATCTTAAGAAGTACCACGCAAAAGCGAAAACGTTTATTTTTTTTAAACAAAGGTATATAATGGTAATCGCAAATAACATTACTTGAACTCAAATAACTATTAACGATTCTTTTTAAAAATAAATAAATTGCAGTCAGACTATGTGGATTTTGAGCTGTGCCGCTGATGGGGCGAACTATGATTTTTGTAGAAAATACTTCGGCCGCGAGTCTTTGACCATCTGGAGAAAATATCAAGAGAATGGTGACTTTGAGCGCTGCAACATGGGTAATAAACATAGCAGTGGCTGAAAAAAATGTTGTTGGAACCCCTGTATTTATATCTATTTAACTGTATATATATATATATATATATATATATATATATATATATATATATATATATATATATATATATATATATATATATATATATATATATATATATATATATATATATATATATATATATATATATATATATACACACACTAGCTGCATCCCGTGCTCCGCCACGGTAAATCTTTTTTAAATGTACCAACTTGGGAACAGAACAAAACTAAATACAACACAAACGAACGCAAAAAAACAATCGAAAAATAAACACAACACTCATAACATAAACACAATTTAAATGCAATCATAAAGGCATATTACTCAAAGTCTAACTCGTAGCGTCAAATCGCACCCTTTCCGAGCGCCGGCGGACGCGTCTGACACAGTGAATGACTATAAAACAGAGGCGTAGCGACCCTTTCCGGCGCCCGGGGACAAGCTTTCGATTTGACCCACCCTCAAACTTACGATTTGCACCCCCTCCCCTCAAAATTTCAAATTTCCATCCCAGCCCCTTAAACTTTCGATTTGCACCCCCCCCCCCTCAAACTTTCGATTCGCACCCCCCCTGCCCTAAAACTTTCGATTTCCACCCCCCCCACCGCAAATTTTTTTCTAACCCACTTTGGCATTCCCTAAGGTCGGCACCCGGGGACATATGCCCTCCCCCCCCCCCCCTCGCTACGCCTCTCCTATAAAACCCCCAGCTTGTCCGCAAACCGAAAGATAGAATAATAATTAGTGAACAATACGTTCAGTGTATACAAAAAATAATAGGCAATATTTAAAATATCCGTGTTTTACCTACCATGTATGATATATCACTTAATCCATTCACGCATTTTTTTCCAGTACTTAAAATTTAAAAAATTTACAATAGAGTTTCATAACTAAAACCATTGCGCACCCAATGAACGCGATGACGCGTCTATAATAGTGCTTAATAGTTATTTAAAAATTATAAGTAGTAAACATTACATTCAGTGAATAAAATAAATAAAAGACAGCCTTTTATCAATCAATGCTAATTATAATATTCCAACAATAATGTACTCTTACACGTCTGCATAATTTGCATTCACATTTTGCTAATTATATTATTCCAACAATTATTCCGTCTTGCAGATTCTGCATTCACTTTTTTAGCGTGAGTTCAATTTATTTTTAAAATACCTCCCTTGGCAAAATTACTAAACAGTTTAATTAGATTTTTCTAACCTACAGTTATTATGTTATTAAAATGTATCCACTTTTTTCTAGGAATATTAACGAAAACGATATTTGACATTGATCCTTTTAATATGTTTTAGCAATGTGCGTGTGTTTAATATTCTCTTTACGTTATGCAAAATTGTACAAACAGTGGAAATTATAAAATAGCTCTATGTCGTTATATAAACAAACCCAACTCTTTTACTTATAATAAGAAACTGCGGTGCACTAAAAGCACAGCATGGTGCGATGTTTACTTTTATAGTTCCAAAATCTATAGCGATGACAGAAGGAAGGACTGACACACTACTTGCCCGCTTATATTATAGACTAGCTGCATCCCGTGCTCCGCCACGGTAAATCTTTTTTAAATGTACCAACTTGGGAACAGAACAAAACTAAACACAACATAAACGAACGCAAAAAAAAAAAAAAACAAACGAAAAAAACAAACATAACACTCATAACATAAACACAATTTAAATGCAATCATAAAGGCATATTGCTCACAGTCTAGCCCGTAGCGCCAAATCGCGCCCTTTCCGAGCAAAGCAAAGATCAAAATTAAAAACGACCCTGTTGTTGGATTTCTGCATGAACACACACATGCATCAGATGTAACACAATGTGACGTTCGACACAATATTAAAAAAGGGCACTGGAAACAGATGAAACACCCCAACAGATTCTTGGTAGAGAGATGCAAAATCTCATTGAAGCAGCGTCTGTGCAGATGGTTCTTATTCAACATCTGCGGCATCATATTCGAAAACAGCGACAAGCTAATCATGTTCAACATCCTCTTCCAACCGATCGCTCTACCATTGAACTGCCGGATGAATGCAAGAAACTCTCTAGTGGTGAGAATTTTCAATTGTCTGATAGTGGTGTTGGCGACAAAAACAGAATTTTAATATTTGGCACTAATGAATCATCCTCTTTATTAGAAAAATCTTTACATTGGTTTATGGATGGAACCTTTAGCGTTGTGCATGAGATATTTTTCCAATTATATACAGTTCATGCCCTCATCAGCGGCGATGTCATTGCATGCCTGTACTGTTTGCTGCCACACAAAACTACTGAAACCTATCGCCGTCTTTTTATGAAATTAAAAGAACAAATGGCGGCCGCCCGGCCTATTTCAGCTATGCTGGATTATGAAAAATCCGCCTTGAATGTTGTTTCTGAATGTTATGAAGGCATACACGCCCAATGCTGTTTTTATCATTTGACCGAAAAGTACAGGCTCTTGGATTTCAAACAAAGTATGTGGATGAAGCAGATTTCGCCGTCATGTTAAGAATGATAGGTGCTTTGGCTTTTGTGCCAATAGCAGATGTTGTAGATGTGTTTGAAGTACTTCGAGAACATACGGAAAATACCAATGAAATGCTACAACTGCTGGATTATTTTGAGGATAATTACATTGGTAGAGTAAGACGTCGAGGCCGAGCTGTTCCCCTTTATAAGCCTCACATTTGGAACATACACCACAGGGTGGAAAATGAGTTACCTCGCACCAACAACAGCGTCGAGGGTTGGCACCGTAAAATGCAAGCTGCAGTTGCTGCTGACCATCCTAATATCTGGCGCTTCATCAATATTCTCAAACGCGAGCAAGGTTTTCACAAAGTGGTCATCGGTCAGCGGCTTAGCGGACATCCAGTAGAACCACCAAGAATTAAATATCGTAACAGCGATTCTCGTATTTTTAAAATCGTTAAGGACTATGCCAACAGAAATCACATGGACTATTTAAGAGGGACAGCTTACAATATTCAAATTTAAATGTCTGTAAGTTTTCATCCATTATCCAATTCAGAAAAGTACAATTTTATGTTGTCTTTTTTTAAATTTTTATTCATCTAGGTTCATTTAGATTTTGTTGTATATATTTTTGAATGTTTGTAAGTTTTCCTTTTGTTTTTCTTTTTTTCAGAAAATAAAAAATTTAAAAATGTATATGTATGTTGCTTATTTTAAACTTTATTCATGTTTGTACATTTACATTTTGTTATATATATATATATATATATATATATATATATATATATATATATATATATATATATATATATATATATATATATATATATATATATATATGGGCACCAAAACCATTTATTTTTTATTCATTTATTTATTTTAACCTGTCTATTTTAATTTAAATTAAATTAATTCCTTACTTAGTAATCAAAACCTGTTTCGTTTGCATGGTATTTCTACTATATCTCTACTCTAAGATACTTTGACACAAAAATAAGGCCCAAACACATTTATTGCTTTTAATAGCTCGTATATCTTGAGATGGGGGGGGGGGGGGTTAATTTGTTGTCAGTCATTTCTCGACCGTTAACCATGTGACGGAGTGGTCTAGCGGTAAAGAGCTGGACTGCTAACCCCTAAGTCTCGATTTCGAATCCGGGTTCAAGTCAGTAGATCGTCTCTGAGTCCACACAACTTTGATGGGTACCTAACTCACGTTAGGGAAAGTAAAGGCGGCTGGACATAGTGCTGACCACACTATCTCTTCATATGCCGAGGTCACAGAAACAAGTGAACTCTACTTCACTTGCCCCATAGACCGTCAGGTTTGAAAAGGGAAACTTTACTTTAACCATATCGTCCTACAATATGGCACGCCGGCCCTTATGGACAGGGAGTCGAGGGGAGTTCCAAAGGTCATTTTTTAGTGGACTTCATAAATGGAAGACTGCTTAGCTTGCACAAACATAATTTTTACCATATACCTATAGGGAAAAATATCGAATTTGGGCATCTCTTCCGGGAAATCGTTGCAGACTGTCCTACAATATACCTACAATTCTTTCTTTAACTAAATGCCGAAAACTAACAACCATGGATATGGTTACTGTAACTTTCACTTTAACAAAACTCATAAGGACACATATTGTGTGAATAACTTTTAAAAACCTTTTGTAGGTTTGAATCCCATTGATAACACGGTGGGGGCCAGATTCCCGAACACACGCCACGTCACGTGCTACAACTTAAGCGGGACTCTAACTCTAAGTTACTCGACCAATGAGCAGCAAACAAGTCATTTAAAAGGTAAAGATTTTAAAGAATTTAATTAAATATTAGCTGTAAAGACTGCAGATTGAAAAACAACAATCCGACAATTGGAAAAAAGATTAAATTAATATCCCAGAATTTGTGGACGCGCACGCACATGCATGCACGGACACGCGCACACACACGCACACACACACACGCACGCACACACACACACACCGAGAATGCTAAACAAAAACTTTGAATAAATTAAACTACATGAAAATAGCACTTTTTCATTTACAAATATCAATGTGCATATTTAGCTGTTTATAACGTTTATTTTTTTTTATTCAAAAGGATACTCGTGGATTCTCGTAGTGCTAGTGATCATCCCATTTTTCTTCACATTCTGATGGTAGGGTTGCTCCTATTTTCTACTGAGTTTGGTTCGAGGGTCATCCTAATTATTTTGAGCTAGTGTTGATCCCATTATTTTCAGAGTACTTTGTCAAATCTGCCAATATATTTGATTTTATTTAATCACGTTTTACTTGCACACTTTACATTTTTCTCTCTCCCGTTGAAATTAAATAAGCTATTAAACAGTGTTGGCCTTACAACCTTTATTGTTTTTTTTCTCACGTAGACTGAAATCTTTTATGTTTTTGTAATTTACTTTTATTATGAAGTTTATTGTTTAAATTACGCTATACAAAGGACAAGCAGGTTCCCAATCTGGGATAAAAAGGTTTAGATGTGTGTAATAGGAAAAATATGGTGGCCGGAAAGAACCGCAACGGAAAAAAGCGCAAAACAAAAAGCGCAACGGAAAAAAGCGCAAACGGAAAAAGCGCAAAGAGAAAAAAGCGCAAACAGAAAAAAGCGCAAACGGAAAAAAGCGCAAAAAGAAAAAAGCGCACACAGAAAAAAGCGCAAACGGAAAAAAGCGCAAACGGAAAAAAGCGCAAACGGAAAAAAGCGCAAAAAGAAAAAAAGCGCATACAGAAAAAAGCGCAAACGGAAAAAAGCGCAAACGGAAAAAAAACGCACACATAATAAAGCGCAACCAGAAAAAAACTTCAAAAAATGTGCAAAAGAGAAATTTAGCACAAAGACCTATATGGACTAGCTGACACATTTATACATGACTGTTAGGGCTGCTGTGAGAGTGTCGTGTTTGATTACGTGATCTACTACCATTTGAAAGCATACCACTACCATGTGCATTTCCATTACCACGATACAGGCGATAATCGCTTAACACAATGCCTATTATTTTCTTGGTCAATAATTATTCAACTACTATTCTCGTATAAATAAACATCAAAATATCATTGATATCGACATTACATGAAGTATCTCTCAATTATGTATTTAATATTATCATGACGCACCTACCTACGCACCGTCCCACCTACCCATTTACCCACCTACCCACTTACCCACCTACCCACCTACCCACTTACTTACTTACCCACTTACCCACCTACCCACTTACCCACCTACCCGCCTACCCACCTACCCACCTAAAAAGTATCGACGAAGTTCGTTAGTTTCGTAAACTGCACTAGACATATTTTTTTAAATGAAAATTCATTGACATCATTGACATATTATGTTACATATATGTTATATTTTGCGACAACCTTAATTAGTGCGTTGGGCTAGTGTGAACACTCACTTCGAACTAACTCAATTACATGCTATTTATTTTAAGCGTCACCCAACTGTTGTGATGTGAGGTGAGGACAGGGTCGACAATAAACCAACACGAAAGTACGAAAGAGACATAGATTGCCTATTAGAGAATGGACCCCCTAACTTTCCTAACCCCACCATTTATTATACCCTACCTATCCTCTAAATTTCCTGCGCTAAATGTCACTTCCCTCCCAATCGTTACTATTCTACAGAATTGTGTGTACTATTTATTTGCATTCTTTAATCTCAATATAACTAAAATAGACTATTGTTTGAAGGGTAATGAAAACATGGTGTCCGGTCAAAAAACCCCTGGACAAAAACCCCCTGGACATAAACCCCCCGACATAAACCCCCTGGACATAAACCCCCCGACATAAACCCCCTGGACAAAAACCCCCCGAGGCATCTCTTTTACCCCCCCCCCCTACAAACGAAATGGAATTTATAAAGTAAACATACACTTTTACTAGTGTCCGCCCCCCCCCCAAATGATAACCCCCCCTCCAACCCCCCCCCCCCGGAGAAAAAAGTCTGGAAAAAAACACTGCATGTAGCCTATATAACAGAAGAGCTATTGTTGTTTATATCATTTTGGATTCTTCCGGTAAGCATTTCCGTTTGCGCTTTTTCTGTGTGCGCTCTTTTCTTTTTGCGCTTTTTTCCGTTTGCGCTTTTTTCTGTTTGCGCTTTTTTCCGTTTGCGCTTTTTTCCGTTTGCGCTTTTTTCTGTTTGCGCTTTTTTCTTTTTGCGCTTTTTTTCCGTTTGCGCTTTTTTCTGTTTGCGCTTTTTTCCGTTTGCGCTTTTTTCCGTTTGCGCTTTTTTCTGTGTGCGCTTTTTTTTTTGCGCTTTTTTCCGTTTGCGCTTTTTTCTGTTTGCGCTTTTTTCCGTTTGCGCTTTTTTCTCTTTGCGCTTTTTTCTGTGTGCGCTTTTTTCTGTTTGCGCTTTTTTTCCGTTTGCGCTTTTTTCTCTTTGCGCTTTTTTCCGTTTGCGCTTTGTTCTCTTTGCGCTTTTTCCGTTTGCGCTTTTTTCCGTTGCGCTTTTTGTTTTGCGCTTTTTTCCGTTGCGCATTTTTCCGTTGCGGTTCTTTCTGGGAGCCGAAAAATATATTCCACGCCCTGAAAATGGGATACCTACACGACTCCTCGGGATCTAGTACACAGATCACATAACTAATTAGAAAAATCCGGGAAAGGTCCATTCCGTTCCGTTTGCGCTTTTTTCCGTTGCGCTTTTTGTTTTGCGCTTTTTTCTGTTGCGCATTTTTCCGTTGCGGTTCTTTCTGGGAACCGAAAAATATATTCCACGCCCTGAAAATGGGATACCTACACGACTCCTCGGGATCTAGTACACAGATCACATAACTAATTAGAAAAATCCGGGAAAGGTCCACTAATGTGATTGGTCGCTTTGGGCGTCTGTAATACACAGAGAGTCTACTGAGCATAATCAAAACAAGAGAATTGAATTGGTTACATGTTACAATATTAAACGTTCAATTACTATGCAAAAGAATATTGCAAGTGCCAGGAGGGAGAAGGGGAAGGCAAAGTCGTCACTGGATGGAGGACATCACGGACTGGACTGGGCTGCCCGTGTCAGTACAGAGCTGTAGTGGACCGAAATGTACAGAGGACAATTATAAAGTCTGCGGTGGTGCCCCCACGACCCCAATAAGGTTTATGTGATGATGGTGTTCATGTTGTAAGCAGTGTGATGGAACTCCGTCAAAAGTGTTTTTGGATCTAACATCCACACGTTTACTTAGACCTAACATCCACACGTTTACTTAGACCTAAAATCCACACGTTTACTTAGATTTTATATCCATTTTCTGGCTCGTTTCAACCCCATAATCATAGGTTGCAGTTTTTATTGTGTAGCCTAAATGTAGGATTTAAAAGAAGTGTCTTGCAACCCACAATGCAAGATTTGTTAAAAAGTTTAATATGTAGGTTTACTTCCGTTTACATAATTTGGTAAAACCATTATTTCTCTCAAATAACACTTTTTACAAATTCTAAATTACATAATAGTTAACGTTTTTTAAATTTGTAATTAGCACCAGTGGCGTAGCCAGGATCGTCTCAAGGGGGGGGGGGGTTCCAATTTTTACCCGGGGACAAACTTTCGATTTGCACCCCCCCCCCTCAAACTTTTGATTTGCACCCCCCCCCTCAAACTTTCGATTTGCACCCCCCCCCCTCATACTTTTTATATATACCGAGTGCCTACGCCACTGATTAGCACCTCAATATAATTATCATTTAATTATTAGTAAGAAAATGATTTCTTAAATAACGGTTTTGTAATTGAATGTATTAAACTTGCATCAAAGTATTATTACAAGAAAGTATTTGAAAGCTATTATAACCTTTTTTTTTAGACTTGTAAATTGATTTATTCAGGGATGTGACTTTTCCGAATTTTAGCGGAAATCCGATTTTTCCGTTTCAGCTGCAATTTTCCTCCGCTGATTTCATTTTTGCCGAATTTTTCCGCCGATCTTCGATTTTTGCCGAAGTTTTAAAAATTAGGAAAAAAAAACAAAAATGACATCTACGGAAACGGCCGACTTGCGCATTCCATATATTCGTATTTAAATCGAGAATTAGAGTACTTAGGTCAAATATGCACATTTCTTTTTAATTAGACGATTGCGCTAGGTCTGGCGGTGCTAGATTAAGATGAAACATAGATCTAGGTCAAGATTCAGAATTTCTGCGAATTTCAGTATTTTTCAGAACGCAATTTTTTGGTCCAAATTTTCCGCTGATATCAGTTGAATATTTATCAAAAACACGGGAAAAGTAATCTAAAATAATGCCTTTCTTCAAATGAAACTTACATCTCCCAAGCCTGGTAATCTAGCTATCGATATAGCCTAATTTATCTTTCGGTATTTTAACCCACCCAAATCTACAGTTTCTCTCTGATTTTATTTTATTTAGCTATCTAAAATTAATATTAAAATCCTTGCAAATGGTGACTATGAGGACTAGACTACCCCACCCCTTGTAGCAACCGTGGCTCTTGTGACCTCACCTTGACCCCCAAGTACGTGTTTGGTACTGCTTGTGGAGAAAAAAAAATAAAATGACGTCACAGTAATTTCAAATAGCTGTTCCTGCAATACATATGCTATAGGCCTACAGATTTAAAAAAAAATGAACTCAACGTGACTCCAAAGAAAAAATACGATATGGACTGTTTTTAATAAGGGGTCTTCCATAAATAACGTCACACTCGGGGGGGGGGAGGGAATCCGTCATTTTGTGACGTGTAATGAGGGGGGAGGGGGTCAGATAGTGTGACGTCGTATTTTTTTATTTTAAAAAAGTAATGTTAGAAACTGAATTTTAGCCACTATTACGCGTTTTAGAAAACTTTTTAAAAATTGTAATATAAATTAATTGAAATACCCTACGTTGGTCGAGCTCAGTCAATGTTTTAGAAAAAAAAATCGATGTTTAAAAAATAAATAAAATCAAATTCAATTTTGAGGAGGGGGGAGCGGTTGTTGGCTGAGTGTGACGTAATTTTAGGGGGGGGGTCTGTCTTTTGAGAGGAGAGGGCAGGTAAAAATCGTAAAAAAAACAACCCGTGACGTCATTTATGGATGACCTCAAACAGCCATTCCAAAAACAAAAATAACGATGTGGTTTGGCTATCGAAATGGTTAACTTTGGTTCACATATCAGACCCTTTCTAATTTCAGCTAAACTGGTCAATTTCATTTTCCATCATATTAACCCAAAACTTTCAAAAAACAATTAATCTGAATCTAGATCTAGGCATTTTACAGTTGAAGACTGACATTTTTACCATGCCAATCTTTAAAAGAATATAAGGCATAATTTAAAATTGAAAACAAAAGTGTAACTAGACTAGATTAGTACACTTTG